GTGGTGGATTTGACCACGGGATGTGGCAGCCTTGCGAAAGCAGCGCTACTTCAGAGGATCCCCTTCCTAGGCATGACGCTGACTGAGTCCCATGCCAGCCTTTTGAAGGCCGAGCTGGTGAAGTTCGTCAAGCAGAAGATGACTGAAGAAGGGAGCACGTTCTACAGCCCAGAGTGGTGTGCACTTGCTGGTGCTGGCAACGCTGGTGGGGGTGATCCAAAGCCAAAGCCCGGGCCGAAGGCGAAGGTAAAGCCTGAAGCCAAACCAAAGCCCGAAGCAAAGCCAAAACCTCGAGGCACTAAGAACAAGGGCGGCGGCGAGGATCCCAAGCCGAACAAGAAACCCAAGACCGATCTGATTGAATCATCTGAGGCAGACAGCGATGCTTCCGGCGAACGCTGCAGCTGAATGGCCAAAGGGAGCCTATTTCGGAAGCTTTTTGACAGGGCCCCCATGCCCTCATGCCATCGATCATGTTGGGTTCATCAGCGGTGACTGGGCCACAGCGCCTGAGTCTGAGACTGATGTTATCTGATTCTTGGCTGACAAAACCTGCAAGGCATGACCGGCTTGACTTTGGCCTGGTTCATTTCATCAGTTCAAACTTTTCAGAACTTTGGATCAAGTTGTAGGCTTGCATTGACATGTTTCAGTATTATATTTCAGTTCTGTGACTTTTTCAGAACTTGGGATCAAGCCCTGTCGGTCCTGTGCCGGTCCTGCCCTTTGCCATCATCCATGGACCTGGACTTTGCAGCGGTGGAAGTGTTCAACCAAAACGTCAAAGGGGCATCGTCGGGAGGTCGGCCTTGCAAAGGGGTCATCAAGCGGTTGAAGACAAAGACTAAGAAGACCAAGACGACCAAGACTAAGACTGAGTCGACCACGAAGGATGTCGGCGAGGGAGACGCTCAAGAGACGCATGGATAATAATTACATATAATTACAGTAAGTTCACGTTGATACCATGTTTGATTGACTTTTGCGCAAGAAATATGTTGATTGACATTGACTTCAACATTTGGCCCTAAGGAAGTTTGCACGAATGCTCTTGCAGAAGTTGGTGGACAAGGCAAAGTCTTCTCGCAAGTCTAAGCCGCCAAGCCCTTTCAAGAAAGGCACCATTGTTCTGGGTTCCGACTGCTGCGGGCTGGGGTCTGATTTTGTGAGCCTGAAGTTGGCCTTTGGGAACAAGTTGAAGCTGGAGACCGCTTTCATCTCCGACGCTTGACATTTGATTTGGTTGAACGACGATTGATTTATTTAATTATGATCATTGGTGTTGTTCAAACTCCATTCAAGGACATCGATGAAGAGCGGAGAATGATGGCTCTGGAACTTCATGCACACTATGAAGACAAACCGGTGACTTGGCTAACTTTCTGCATTTTTCTTAAAAGTGTAAGTGCTCGTGTTTAAGTAACAAGTGTTTGCTTGATTGGTTTTGTTTGGCTTCTCTTTCAGGAGATCGTGTTTGGGGACATTACGGCTCGGAACAATGAAACGGCTCCTTCATGCAATGTCTACATTTCAGGGGCACCGTGTCCGCCATTCAGCAACGCTGGCCTCCGCAAATCTTTGGGAGACAGCAGAAGCTGTGTCTTGCTGAGCTCGGTCGACTATGTCTTGACCCGGAAACCAAAGCTTGCAATATTTGAAAACGTAAGCGGCCTTGTGAATGCAAAGAACAAACCAATATTCAATGCCATCGTGAAGGTATTGAAAACGGCCGGTTACAAGTGCCAGGCACAGATCATGAACAACTGCACCCACGGTGCGATCCCGCGCAACAGGCCGAGATTATACCTGGTGGCAATGCTTGAAGATGGAGAGAACCCCAACAAGGAGCTGCCTTGGTTTCCAGATGCCGTGGACTGTCCCACGCTGCAGAGGTTCCTAGTGAACAATGTGAAGCAGAACGCTCGTCTTTGCAAGTCAGCGGCCAAGAACGTCACGGAGGCGCGCCGCATTGCCAAGAAGAAGTGGGGAAAAGACCATGGCTTGGTGGTCGTGGATGCTCAGGCCAGTGCAAAATTCCGAGCAATCATGCATGGCAAGGTGCCTTGCCTGACAAAGGCGCGAGGTGGCTCCAATGGGCACTACATCATCTTTAAGTATCAGGGTGATGGCCGATGGATGAACTTGCAGGAGATTGGTGGGTTGCAGGGATGGCCGAAGTTGCACTTGGATTACCTACAGCAGAGCCACAGTGCCTGTGTGATTGGGAAGACGCTTGGAGATGGTTTTTGCCTCACTTTGTGGCAGCGGCTGTTTGCAAAAGTGCTCTTGGCGGCAAACCTGATCAAGAAGAAGGATCAGCCACCGGACATTTGGGTCGATTGTCACAAGGCTCATGGGCATCTTCCTGACGCCATGTACGGAGCTGACACTAAGCATGAGAAGTTTGCTTTGTGGCATTAATTAGTTGGCTGATGGCTGGAAGTTTATGGATTGGATTCGATGCTAAGTTTTAAGTCTTAATCTTATTTTCATGTTGTGTTGAATGAGCTGAACAGCATTGAGACAGC